ACAGGGCATGGCTAACAATAAGGCTTAGCAAAACTTACGGCACCATTTGCTACAGTAGCAACAGTTCAAAGTCAGCTTAATTTAAACACGTCCCCTTTCCTCAAGTAAGTTTTTGCAAAACAATACTAGCCATTGTTTCTAGTAGAGCAGGTAGCTAAGAGCTTGTTATCCTTGCCATGAAATTTTCCCTTTCCTGCTTTGCTTCATATTTGCTCAAGCGTCTGCGTTCGGCTATCTGCAAGGTCGGTTGGATAAGACAGCACCGTGTACCTTTAAAAATATACATTAATAAGTTTTGTCCCTTTTGCCTTTACTTGCAGCAGCTATTTATAACCCCACCTAAGTGCTGGCAGCACCTATTCCTCCACGACTCGATAGGTCTAGGAGAATACTAACTGGACGTAGAGGTTGCAACCAATTCATATTTCATCTACCTCAAGAGTGTGATGCCATAGATCTTGCCATGCATTTCTCGCACTGTGCAAGGGTTATCGGCTTAGCGATTGGTGCTGATCGTGACTCAAATGAAAGCAAATATTTATAGGTAGGTCCTAGTACTGTATTTGGCCCGCACTGACTTCCTTTCGTACCAATCATGGTTGATCAGAGTGAGCAGTATTTTCCTGGGGTTTGTTAACTACAGCGATCCAATTAGTGCCCAACGAACAATCACTGAAATGAATCACAATGGAGCGGGAGCAAAGGGGCCGAAAGTGAATTTGAACTATCTTAATGGCTAGTTGGATGTTCAGACTCTTATTAGAATCGTTTATTTAGGAATCATATTCATGCCTGCTGCGAGTGTTATTTAATGACACAAAATTTGTCTTTCTTTCCTTTAACTACTCAATAATAATGCCAATTCCATCTTCTTTTACCCACTTATAATGGCACCAGATTTTAACAAAATAGCATTGTTACAAAAAGAAGGATATTATTTCCTCAGATGTAAAAGACTTCATAATCTTATAAGTGTATGAGTTGTTACATACACAAGCAAATCAGTTCAAGTAAAAACTGGCAGTTGTTTCTCCTTCTTGCGATGTAGTGACGGAAATTGCAATTAGTAGTAGGTCATAATTGATGACTTACTTACCACCAGGATCAACTATCATTCCTCCATGGCGCTGTCAAACCCATTATCGCCCACATCATTTAGAACGAAACATATTGAGGTGAGACACAAGACTATCGGTACAATATTACTTCTCTCACACATGCGGATGCCGTCGAGAGGGGCAAGTGAAGTGCGTGGAGCATTTTGAACAAGAAAAGGTAAGGCCTTTGCATGAGCATTTGGCGATATCTTCAGATTCACAAATGTTAATGAGTTGAGTTGCTCACTTTGATCAGTCAAAATGGTCATACCCATGCTGACGATGTGCTTGTCTAACCACACCGGTATGAGGCAAATTGACTGCATCTGTGCACATTTTCATCGCCAAAGATAGATGTAATGCTACTGACCTTAAAAAAGGAATGAATTGGCCAGTGCTAAAAGAATTAATTTCTGTTTTTGTAGGATTTACTCAGCCATGACAACATGTTTCAGTCATTTATTGCGTGCTATCATTTTACTGCCCAAACACTCAGCCACTATGCTGCACTCTTTCCCTTCTTCCCACTTTGTTGTCCCCTTTCCAGTAGATGTAGGTGTATTCCAAATGACAGGCATCGAATTTCTTAAATGCTCCATTTTCTGTCTTATGACGGATTTGACAGACTTGGTGTACAAAATCAGAATCTAGAGAGAAGTGAATCATGATGAGTACCTATTTTGGTATTAGGATATGATTAATTTGTGGCTCACCAGATATTTGCTTAACTCGTATTAATCTAAATTAGTGTAGAAGAGGGATTTCATATTAAGGCAACCATGTCGTTAAGTGCACAATTGAACAAAATGTCAAACTGTTACATGTTTAGAAAAACCCAGTGCACATTTTCCTCCATTCTCGCCAAGTGGGATGGATAATACCATTTGACCTCTAATGCAGGACAACAAACAACTTTGGCATAATTATGTAGAGGAAAGTATCAACTGTATTATTTGTGCACATGTCTTAAAGGGATGGTTAGTTACGCGGGCTCCTCTGCTTGGCAGATTAACCCTCATTCCATGTTTTCAAACACTATGGACTTTTCCTTACCAATGTGAAGTGTTTCTACCTCAACGGTGTCACTTTTCAATGAATCCAATCTACGTATTTACATCTGCCATTGTGCAGGCTGAGAGTATATGCTCTTTTATTTCACCGAGGTGCCAGGTGCAATTGCGCAATTCCTCGACTCTGAGATGCTGACACCTAAGGTAATGTTTTTAAGGTATAGTTAACTCTTGGTAGTTAAGGAAGTGTAAAAGGGGAGCAAAAAGTTGTCTTAGCCGAATCGCATAAGAGTATTGCGTGCAAAAGTAGGTATGATCATATATGTTCCATCACAAAATTCCTTAACACAGACGACCTTGAGAAGTAGACATTGAATTCCTTAATGTCTAGGGCGCTTTTAGAATCCGTCGAAGTGTTTTGTTGGCAGGTAATGAACAAAAATGCATTGCACTTTGAGTTGCTTTTAAAATGATCCGCCATCTTCTGAGCATATTGTGCATGGCCAAATATCGTGGCTGTGAGGCAGAAAATAGCAAATGGTCTAGTTTGAGGCATCTGTGCACCACAATTTTGGCGGGTTTTCACACTCAATGCTTTTGTGGGAAATGGAAATGCCTACAACAAAGGCCTGCTTCAGCACAGAGCAAAATAAAACTATCATTGTCATCTCACTGGATGAGGAAATGAGAATAAGCAAATGCCGTTAAGCAAGAACTATTCAAGGAGCCTTGTTACATTCCACTCCTGCTCTGCACCCCCTCAGACTGAACTATAATGTGGGCTGCGTCTTACCATAGACAGAAAAAGATAGGTTGTGAATTCATCACATTAATAAAGAAGTGGGTTCTCTCTGTCTTGTGACTGAATTCAACGTGATTCAAGTCACTGGTGACACTCTGAGTAGGGGGACATTTAAAAATGTTGTCTGGCTTAGCAATGCAGATACAGTAAGATACTTGCAGGTGCGGTACTAAAGTAAAACTAATGCCGATCGAAGAGAATCAGCATAGAATTGGCAATCGCCCCCCCGAATTCGCTGATTGTGCTTGTTGCAGTAGTGGTTGCTTGTTGCTTCTGTTTACGAGTACACCTCTATCAACAAGGTATGCGATGTTGGAGAATGTGCGAACCCATTTTCATCAGCTTGGCCAGTTAAAATCGCCAAGGAAATGTGTGGATGCAGAGGCATCGATACGCTGACCACCAAGTATCAGCACCGCGTGGAACATGAAGGCTTCCACTTGCGCATAGTTGTGGTCATGCACCAGACTCGTCGTGTATTCAGTCAGCAATGGGGATGCGGATGCAAGGACTTACGAAGCAGTACGCATCTGGATTAAATTGTTTTAATCTGATCAGGCACCTTCCCACACCACCTTATCCCAACTTTTCCTTCCCCTTCCTCCTTTATCCCAACTTTTACCTCCTATCTCATTGCTGAGGTTTCTGACTTCAACATTTGTGTCTGCCGTTACCATTACTACCATCGGTAGAAGCCGCCAATGGCTGCCAACAAGGAATAATGGGTTGCCGCTAGATATGGAAGCAATGGCAATATCTTGAACGAAGCGCATGAATTTGCAGCCAAAGGTCCGATTAGTCACACCTAGAGAAAGGCATTGCTGTTTCCAAATCCCGCTCCAAGCTTACATTATATAGCACATCTTAGGCATGTGTGGGCATAGCCACGTCTTTTTTAAACTGAGTTATCGTTTTTCCACTGGCACGAGATAGGTGCTATAGAGAAGGTTCCCCTTCGTTGGAATTCGACTCAAAACGAGACTACCTCTACACATTTGCCATCGCCAGTATGAATTAAAGAAGTAATCACCTAATTGAGCATGGCGTTTGGGTACAAAGGTTATAGTAGGAGGCACAAGGAAGCAAATCCATAATGTTTTGCAGTAGCCTTGATATAAAGACATAAAAGGGAGCCAAAAAGAGAAGAGAAAGCTGATGACATTAAGTAAACGTCGAATGTCTGATCAGAAACATCGACGGAAATGGAAGTGCAATCAGCGACCACCATAAGGGAATGTGACAGGATGTGCCCATTAAAACTTGGCGCCTCCCAGTCCTAAACACTGCTTGTGCTAACCAACAACCAGTAAGTCGTAGGCGGTTGAGCCAATAAAATTCGAGCATGTTATATAAAAAAGGCAGATACTGATCGAAGACTCGTCATCTGGTTGCGTTTCAATCGTGAGAAACGGTGAGATGCATTTCTGCCTGTACTTTGTCAGCATATATACTACTTTTGTGTCTGTCAGGACCGGATTCGTCTAATTCTTTACACTGCTATTGGCTGGGTATTTTCTTGCATTAACTTTACAATTTATTCCTTTTCATCTAGACTTTTCCATTAAAGGCTTACTAAAGCTGTCAACTGCAAAACAAGTACTCCCAAAGCCATCCCTTGCAGATGCTAGGCATGAAGCCATATGCAATGCTGAACCCAGACATGCCAACTCATTAACACGGCTTTGACATTCTCATTACCATCGTCTGCCACAACTGGCAATTCTTCCAGCATTTCCTCCACTTCTTCCATTAACCACTCTAACTCATCACCAGTATCACAACTTGAGTATAGATGCAATGAACAGATTCCAGCGACAAATTCGTCCACACTCTTTCCCTTCCAATCGTTGATCTCATCATTCGTGCCCTCTACCAATCAAATCGTAGCGCTTCCACAGCTTTGTAGTCTACCCGTCAACTCGGGTACTATAGTGCATCTCCAGGTCCATCGACACTCCCCACCACAGCAGTCCCATGGAATCAGTCTGGAAGCCTCCAATTACTTTTTATGGTGTCACTCCATGCTTTTAGCAACGTTGTTTGACCTGCTAAACATACGCATAAACACAAGTGTCGTCAGTCCTACCGATAATGCTTCCAGTTCTCCTATTACCGGAGTGGCAAGAAACAATAACATCAGTGCGGCGAGTGAGAAATTTTTCGAGCAAGACAAATGATGAGGGATTGGACAGGGAAGAGCGACCTATATGGAAATGTCGAGAGTGTGGAAAGACATGCAACAGCTCTGCTTCTCTGCGAATGCATGAGCAGAGTCACTCACGCCAGTGGAAGTGTCGCTTCTGTGCTAAGGCGTTCTCACCCAAATGGCTACTTGAGGGTCACGAGCACACGCACACAGGCGAAAAGCCCTTTGTCTGTCCCATCTGCCGACGTGGCTTTGCCGATCGGTCAAACACGCGGGCGCACATGCAGACACACTTGGCGGCGAAGCACTGTCGCTGTCCTCACTGTTCCCGATCATTTACCCACTGCGATCTGCTCATCCAACACTTGAAGAAGTGTCCATTTTCCACTCTTGCTACGAATGATGCTCACATCACCTGCATCGTCAACACACTATGGGATCTCGACTCCACCCACTCAACTGCTTGAAATGAAGAGCTGGAGTTACATCCATACCAAATTTACATACGAACAACATTCACAAGTTCGTGCAATGTTTTTGTTGTACCTGTTGTATGCGTATCCACTTTGTAGTGAATTAACAGGCTTAAATATATGCATATTCTGCGCACACTACCCTTCTATTCTATAAGTAGACGCTGGTTAACCATCAATTGCGCATCCACGAAATATGCTACACGATGTAATAATGTCCGACCAGTAGCTAATTGTATTTGTTCATAGCTCTTCTTGCTCTAACGTGGAGTCAGATAATGTGGGGCATGCCAAGAGCCGTTTGAAATAGAATGGGATCGTAAACCACAACTACGACCTTGAATGGAGCAAAGTATTCACATGATGCCATTCACTCACCGCACCGACTCTATCAGAAGGAAAAAGATAGTGGATGTAACAACTGAGCAATTCACCCGAGATCCATCACAATCTACTCTTAGAGACAGTGATTTCAGTGAAATTAAGACTACATTTTCATTTGTGCTTGTCTTCGTAATTTGCTGTTATCATCCTCTTGAATACCATACACGGCTCATCAGTCAATGGGTGGGCCCAATACTTCCCGTGTTTTAGGTTTGGTAACTTACTGTTGACAAGGCCTACCACTTCCTACATGGGTTCGACAAGTGACTTTTAATTTTCCGTTGAATTCAGTTGCTAGCCGTGAAACCTTGATAGCATGGGTAGCTAGGAATTACCATAGCGACAACACCATTCACAACCTTGCAACTCTTACTTTGTTCTGCGATGAGGATTTTGATTTACTGTTAGATAATTGAGGAAGTTTGCCTTCTCAGTTATGAACTGCAATCAGACTTTCAAGCCGCGCAAAGATTCCTACTCGAAGTATTTACAGCTGCGGTCACCACCAGTGCCATTTTATTTTCCGTCAAATTCGTCTCAGTCATACATTCTAATAATTGAGTCCATTTGCCTCCACAGAATCATCAGAACTTCATCATTAATTATCCAATCTGATCAATCGCGGACATTTATACTTCAATACCGAAGAATAAACTGCAACTCTGACAAAGGTATTCAAGCAGTTTTTACTGACCTACATTTAAATGGGAATTTTCCTTACCATAATAGAATAAACTAATGCCGTATCTTACACCTCGCTCTGTATAGTGATGGAAAGCTTTGTCAAGTGTGAAAGACAAATGAAGGAAATCTGCGGCAGAATATGACATTTATGTGCCAATGTACCACAGAAAGGCTGTTTCAACCCTCATTTACTAGATATTAGCAAAGGAGACAGGCTAGATAATTTGTCTTTATTTACTTAGAGTAAAGGTAAGCAAAATCAATTTGTTCTGACCTAATGAAGAGGACCACTTTAAAGGGCGCTGAACTTTTGCCTATGTCGCTATCTCAAATGTTGTATAGTCACATTGGTTTGTTTCATCAGACCCACTATTCTTTCACTGACAACTTTCGGTCAGTTATCTGGTCTCGAGTGAGTTGACTTATCTACAGCCAATAAGCAGTCTGAGTACGAATCGTGGATACTCTAGAAGAAGGTATAAAGACCGGAACCATCCAAGCCCTTACATGAGTTTACCAGTTTGGGTTTCGCAATTGGGGCGAATTGCAGCATTCAAATGGTTTCGTTACCGACACCTCAACATCTGTATTCTACAACAGGACCAATCACCTCTGACATCGCAGTTGTTCGTTACAGAGCTGTCGATGCTGCAGTATGGATCACTGTGAGCCTTGATGAGCCATATTATTTGTCATGATTCCTGCAACGGGAATGAATCAAAATAACTGTGGGAATATCTTGGGCTGCAGTTCCATGGAGTGAATTTCCATGGCCTTACCAAAGACACTTATTACCGTGATTGCATTCCTAATGCATGGTCTAGCAATGGAATTTACATTAACTTGGCATTCTAGCATAGCAAATTATGGACAATATGGTGCTGAAAAATGCCACAATGAATTCCATTGTCACAGACACCTATCTTACAAATAGTGTCCAAAGTCCCTACTTACCTATCTTTCGCTTCCAAAGTACATCTCCCGACAACCTACACTTATTCCTTCGGGCAGTAAATACCAAAAGCGTCCGATCACTGCTGGCTCAAATGCTGTTGCAGATGTCTTAAATGGATATATCTATTCTTCTGTTCTATCATTTTTAGAGTTCTGCAAGGGTCGCATGAATGCAGTTTATGCAACAACAAATAATAGATGCTTGTATGCCAAATGTGACTGTTCTATCCGAGAATTCTTTAATTAGCACTCCATCTCCATCCGCAGTAATCTTCCTTCGTTGTAACAGAATCTACCTGATAATATGAACGCCAATGCTGGACCGACTACTAGCAATCCAGCCATGGCGCTTAATAACTTTTACAAAATTCATGGAAAATCACCTCATAGCAGCATTGCCCACCGCCTTCTCAAAGCCGAAAGCACCTTCAGGAACTTAGAAATTCAATCATGCTGCACAGGGCATGGCTAACAATAAGGCTTAGCAAAACTTACGGCACCATTTGCTACAGTAGCAACAGTTCAAAGTCAGCTTAATTTAAACACGTCCCCTTTCCTCAAGTAAGTTTTTGCAAAACAATACTAGCCATTGTTTCTAGTAGAGCAGGTAGCTAAGAGCTTGTTATCCTTGCCATGAAATTTTCCCTTTCCTGCTTTGCTTCATATTTGCTCAAGCGTCTGCGTTCGGCTATCTGCAAGGTCGGTTGGATAAGACAGCACCGTGTACCTTTAAAAATATACATTAATAAGTTTTGTCCCTTTTGCCTTTACTTGCAGCAGCTATTTATAACCCCACCTAAGTGCTGGCAGCACCTATTCCTCCACGACTCGATAGGTCTAGGAGAATACTAACTGGACGTAGAGGTTGCAACCAATTCATATTTCATCTACCTCAAGAGTGTGATGCCATAGATCTTGCCATGCATTTCTCGCACTGTGCAAGGGTTATCGGCTTAGCGATTGGTGCTGATCGTGACTCAAATGAAAGCAAATATTTATAGGTAGGTCCTAGTACTGTATTTGGCCCGCACTGACTTCCTTTCGTACCAATCATGGTTGATCAGAGTGAGCAGTATTTTCCTGGGGTTTGTTAACTACAGCGATCCAATTAGTGCCCAACGAACAATCACTGAAATGAATCACAATGGAGCGGGAGCAAAGGGGCCGAAAGTGAATTTGAACTATCTTAATGGCTAGTTGGATGTTCAGACTCTTATTAGAATCGTTTATTTAGGAATCATATTCATGCCTGCTGCGAGTGTTATTTAATGACACAAAATTTGTCTTTCTTTCCTTTAACTACTCAATAATAATGCCAATTCCATCTTCTTTTACCCACTTATAATGGCACCAGATTTTAACAAAATAGCATTGTTACAAAAAGAAGGATATTATTTCCTCAGATGTAAAAGACTTCATAATCTTATAAGTGTATGAGTTGTTACATACACAAGCAAATCAGTTCAAGTAAAAACTGGCAGTTGTTTCTCCTTCTTGCGATGTAGTGACGGAAATTGCAATTAGTAGTAGGTCATAATTGATGACTTACTTACCACCAGGATCAACTATCATTCCTCCATGGCGCTGTCAAACCCATTATCGCCCACATCATTTAGAACGAAACATATTGAGGTGAGACACAAGACTATCGGTACAATATTACTTCTCTCACACATGCGGATGCCGTCGAGAGGGGCAAGTGAAGTGCGTGGAGCATTTTGAACAAGAAAAGGTAAGGCCTTTGCATGAGCATTTGGCGATATCTTCAGATTCACAAATGTTAATGAGTTGAGTTGCTCACTTTGATCAGTCAAAATGGTCATACCCATGCTGACGATGTGCTTGTCTAACCACACCGGTATGAGGCAAATTGACTGCATCTGTGCACATTTTCATCGCCAAAGATAGATGTAATGCTACTGACCTTAAAAAAGGAATGAATTGGCCAGTGCTAAAAGAATTAATTTCTGTTTTTGTAGGATTTACTCAGCCATGACAACATGTTTCAGTCATTTATTGCGTGCTATCATTTTACTGCCCAAACACTCAGCCACTATGCTGCACTCTTTCCCTTCTTCCCACTTTGTTGTCCCCTTTCCAGTAGATGTAGGTGTATTCCAAATGACAGGCATCGAATTTCTTAAATGCTCCATTTTCTGTCTTATGACGGATTTGACAGACTTGGTGTACAAAATCAGAATCTAGAGAGAAGTGAATCATGATGAGTACCTATTTTGGTATTAGGATATGATTAATTTGTGGCTCACCAGATATTTGCTTAACTCGTATTAATCTAAATTAGTGTAGAAGAGGGATTTCATATTAAGGCAACCATGTCGTTAAGTGCACAATTGAACAAAATGTCAAACTGTTACATGTTTAGAAAAACCCAGTGCACATTTTCCTCCATTCTCGCCAAGTGGGATGGATAATACCATTTGACCTCTAATGCAGGACAACAAACAACTTTGGCATAATTATGTAGAGGAAAGTATCAACTGTATTATTTGTGCACATGTCTTAAAGGGATGGTTAGTTACGCGGGCTCCTCTGCTTGGCAGATTAACCCTCATTCCATGTTTTCAAACACTATGGACTTTTCCTTACCAATGTGAAGTGTTTCTACCTCAACGGTGTCACTTTTCAATGAATCCAATCTACGTATTTACATCTGCCATTGTGCAGGCTGAGAGTATATGCTCTTTTATTTCACCGAGGTGCCAGGTGCAATTGCGCAATTCCTCGACTCTGAGATGCTGACACCTAAGGTAATGTTTTTAAGGTATAGTTAACTCTTGGTAGTTAAGGAAGTGTAAAAGGGGAGCAAAAAGTTGTCTTAGCCGAATCGCATAAGAGTATTGCGTGCAAAAGTAGGTATGATCATATATGTTCCATCACAAAATTCCTTAACACAGACGACCTTGAGAAGTAGACATTGAATTCCTTAATGTCTAGGGCGCTTTTAGAATCCG